TTCGGCACTGCATTACTCAGCAAAGCCCCGAAATCCCACCTCAATTTCCATACGGACCCTCCACATTTCTCCTAATTTACTCAACAAATCCACTGCCCAATTTCCAATTTTTCCCAGCTTTAAGTCCCTTCAAAATGTCCCTCAAGTTCCTCACCCCTCAAACTCCAATCCCTCTCATCTCCCTCTTTCTGTAAGTAAATTTCAGAACCCTTTTTCTGATTTTGTTCTCACGTTTCATTTCTTTTTGGGCTAGTAAGAGCATTTTTTTAATTACAAATTTAGCTTTTTAAATTTTGTGATGGCCAACGAGTTTTGTAGCAAATTTGAACTAAAAAATGATTGCTTTGTTTTTTGGGGTCTTTACGGCCTTTTTTTTGTTGCTTTTAAATATGGATTACGTTTTGAACTCAAAATCGAGGGAGATATGGTTGTTGGAAATTTATGTTACTTTTTTTCGGTTTGTTGCAATTTAATATTGAATTTATTCAACTGTTGAAATTTTATTGGCTGCTGTGTGGTCTTATGGTTTAACAAGAAAATATAGCTGGTAAGATTATTTGTTGAAATTGATTAATATCTTGGTTTGAAGGATTGATTAGAGAATCTAGGATGGGTTAACTGACTTAGAAGTTAACTTTATTGGTATTGGGAGATTGTTCTGTGTCTTTTTTTTTTATTGGTCTGTTCTTTATTATCAGTAAGTTCTAATGTCATTTGTTTTGATTGTTGTCATCTGCAGTTTTTTCAAGTGAGGCATATTACTGCAAAACAGAGGAAAAGAAAGTTAAAGAGTAGGCAACCATTGACTCCAATCACTTCCAAAGTCAAGAAAATCAAAATGAAATGTTATTCGTATGTAAATCCCTTGATCACATGCAAAGAAATTCGTTTTTAGTGGTCTGTATTTACTATTTGCAAACATCTAATGATTTTGGTAAATTTTATCTCTCAGGTCATTTAAGGGAAGATTTAGAGTTATGAAGGATGGGCAAATTAGGCGTTGGAAGGAAGGGAAGCGGCACAATGCACATTTAAAGGTCTGTTTATTGTCCTACTGCTGGATAAAATGATAATAACATTATTTGAGTTGGTATGAATTTTAATCTGGTGCTTTTAGCATAGTCGCTTGTTATAGTGCTTCTTTTATTTTCACTGTTGTGCTTAATGCACCTCGCGTTTAAACTTGTTTTCTGTTACCGCACCTTCATTTAGATGTTATAGGAGTTACATTGGTTCCATGTTGTTGCTTATCTGTTTCTGTAGGAGTTTTAAGGAAAAGGTCATGAGTATATGGTCAAGATAGTAGGGCAGAAAAATCTGTTGTTGAAAATTGTAGTGAGTAGAGAAGATTTCCAAAAGTTCACTATGGAACTTTATTGAATGTGCTCTTCTTGGAGTGTATGTATTGTCAAATAGAAAAAGAGCTCAATAGAATGCCTTTTATAGGCCGTGCTCAAATGCATTTTCTGTTTTTCCATAGGAGGAAGTTGGATTTGCATGGAATGGCATAGCCTTCTGAAATTTTCATGTCACTCAGCTTTGCCGTTGGTTTCTTTTTGCTTTTTCCATAAAAGAAGGATAAGTACTATGGGGTCCCATGTCTTATAAGTACGCTAACTGATTTGTTTGTATTGTTGGCATAACCATTTGAAGTGCTTCTATGATCTCCACTTTCTTCTTTCTGCTTCTCATTTACTGAATTTGATTGGCAGGCTACAATATTAGCAAGTCCTCCAATTTGCCATCCTCCTTTGCTCCAGTCCTTTGACATGAACTATCTATTCGATTCACAAATAAACTACAACTGGAAGCCCTTACAGTTAAAAAAGAGAATTGTTCCTAAATCTAAACACAACCCTAAAATATAAAGGAAATTATCAAGCCTTTGAATAATTGTGTATGACATTTAGGGAACATGCTACTGCTGACAGAGTGGAGAATGGAAGGCCTACCTTTCTGGATTAAGCCTGAGTTGCAACAAAATACTAGCTTACTGTGAAACTATCTGGTAAATTTGTGAGATAACTTGTGAGGGAGGGAAGAAAATGTGGAAAGAATCTTTCTTTTCTCCATCCACTGACAATTGACTTGGGAATAGTCCCATCTTCAAGCTTCCCTTGCTAGTAATGGTTACCAGACTATATGGCAGGGAAAGGATATGTTTCAGAGTAATTGGCTGTCCATTATACCTTGAACCAAATAACATCGTAAACTATGTGCATGGATGAAACTTAAGGTAGTTAGCTTGATGTCTGTGGGCCTTTTACATTTGCAAGGCACGTTTATCTAAGAGTCTTATTTCATTGAATATGCTGGAGATATTGTTTTGGAAAATTTAGGAGCAGACAGACAAGATTGAAGTTTGATATCAGTGAAAAATTGCAGTTTAATATCACATATGTTGAGGGTTATACCTTGGCTCTCTTTTCCTTGTTAGAGGTGTAGGTAGGTGATGTTATCTTGTTAGCATCTCATCTTCTAATGTCTGTTCTGGTGTTGTCTTAGGTCTTAATAACATCTTTCTCATCTGCATAGCTGGTCACTCTGATTTTGAAATTAAATTAATGTGTTCTATGTGGAAAACAAGTTCAAGATGAAATTATCTTTTAGTCTAGAGGGAATAAAGAAGGATGAAATAGAAAAATGTCAGTTAAGTTAGGAGAGTAGTTCAAAAAGATAAAAGTGGATAACGGTTTGGGTTTTTTGGCAGGATTAAATGATGATTTTGGACTCAAGAATTAATTAAGTATCTTTCCATAACGTTCTGGGGGCTAAACTGACAGTATGAAAAGATATTAATGCCTCCCTGGTTTTCTCTATGTTTCTCCCCAATTTGGAAGCATCTTCCTCATCTTTTATTCCTTTAGTGAATCCCAAACAGAAAGAAAGATTCTCGCTCTCGCCCCCTCTCTATCTTTTTCACTTTTTTAGTTCACAATTCCCTAGCAAACAGGGCTTTTTGAAGAAATAATTAGCTATTTCACAAGGGGGAAAAAGGGCTTGAAGCTAATTCAACTGAGTAATCTTGAATGAGACGCCAAGCATTTATATTTGAACTTTAGGTACATATGCGGGTGTAGAGTTTGTGACACATCAACTATTTCCCTTGTACATAGGTTTACCATATCCTTTATTTGTTGACTGCCAATTTCCATAAGTTACTCCTGTTCCTCCTGGTTTTGCATTGATAGGCACCCTTTTGTGAATTAGTATGCTGGATACATCTATATGGATCAAACCCATATGTGGCATGGGATTAATATGACTTTTCATGTGGATGTTTTCTTTAATTATGTGCTGAAGGGGTTGCAACCCTGTAACAGAATTATGCAGCTATACAAATAGGAAATCAAACACCATAAGGAATAAAGGTGGAGGTGTGCAATTGATTTTACACAGGCTAGGGACCTTATTGAATTGTGTTGTCTTTCTTGATGTGATTGAAGCTTTCAATGATTGAAATTTTGCTGCTGTATTCACTTGTAGAGCTGCAGAATGCAGTTCCCTCTCAGATTTTCACTTTTTCTAATATGGTATCATCATCTGTTTGAATGTTTCATTATTGAATATGTAGAGAAAGATAACCATAGTTTTTAGGTGAGGTGTATGATATTGTCTGTCTACCCGTCCATTCATGGCTGTTTCATTTTGGTTATTATTATTATTTTTTGAAGTACTGCTTTATGTGGAAAATGCTGTCAGTATTACTCTTACCGCACGAAAGGGATATCACTGTGTTAATTTTTGCCTCTTTCTCCACTTCTAAACTACAAATATGGAGTATTGTGTCGTGTGCTGAAGATTCTTTGGGTGCTTTTCTCTAGACGTTTTTTTTTAGCGCCGAATAATTTTTTCCCCTCTCTTGACCATACTTGCAAGACTTTGGCGGTTAGGAACAGTTAACTAGGATTGATACTGTGTGAGGTTAATATGATCATTATTTATGCAGTCTAAGAAAGCAAGGCGCAGGCTTAGACGTCCTGGTACTGTCCCATTGGCTTATGCAAAAGTGATGAAGAAGCTCAACTTTTCTGGATGAACTATTGACCTCACGGCTGCTACTGTTTTTGCTTGAAAAAAGGCATTTGTCAGAGCTTGTTTTTATTTGTTCTGTAACTCATTTTTTAGAATAGAACTCTGGTGAAAAACATTTTTCTAGGGATTTTCTGCGGCCCATTCTTTTAATTACCGCACATTAACTTGAACGATAACAGGCTATTACACAACCAATCTGGATTGAAAAATCCCTTTGGCAATGAAATATCAAATAATAGACTAGTAGCTTTCTGGATGAAACCTTAGAATTAAGCAACTCTATTAATGTTTGGTCTTGATTATGCAGTCTTATTGCAATCACTAAAAGAGCAAGATTGCTGGTATGATTGAAGGTATACCAGTTCTTCACTGTACAGTAGGGACTTGGCATGAGTAGGTCTGTCAAGGTTGGAGGACACTTGAGCAGCAAAATTCATGGAGAAATTAGAACACAAACAAAGAAAAGGGAATAAAAAAAAATTAACCGATGGTAGTTGCTACTAAACTACCAGAAAGTCTAAGTTTCCACCCTGTATTCTATGCACATCAATACTCTCAATTCTCAATAGAACAATAGGGCGCATGCAGTATTCGTTCTGTAGCATGTAACATTATTGTTTCAGTACAAGAAATGCTGCGGCTAGAAAAGTAAATTTCATTCGATCATTAGGCAAATGTTGACATGCTTATATTATGTAGAAGCATTCTTTTTTCCATTGAAGGAGATTACAACTTGAGCTCAAGCGGGTAAATCCTTGCTCCACTCACTACCTGTGGACTTGAAGCTCTCTATTCATTGAGCAACACTGGCTAAAAGGACTAAAAACCACACACTTGCACCTCCAACAAATTGAGTGACATTATTCCTAGACCTAGACTAATCATCTAGTTAAAATATCTCATAACTGAATTCCATAAATTACTTAAAAAGTAATTTACGAAATACTCCTCGAAAAGGGCTGCAAATTTTCTTGTTATTAGCTAGTGTATGTTGCTATTTTTTTTTTTTTTTTGCCCCTTTTCAACTAAACATTCTCAATTAGTAAAGAAACCTCTTACAACACCCCCTCTTCCAAGAGACTCATAATTAGGATTGTAATCATAGGCTACCCATGTATTTGTCTTATGAATGAAATGGTACGTTCGATTTTCATCAAACCTCCAGTCACAAGTCGGGTAATCTTCTGTGGCGCACTCGTAGTCATAACTGTAAGCTACAAACACCCCCATATTGGTGGAGCAGTTGTACATGGACATGGAAGGGAAGAGTTTATTAGGTTGGACTGTGAAGTTGAACCATTCTTTAGGCTTTAAATGCCATCGTTCGGTGGTTTCACTTTCGTAGAATGAAAAGCACCTAACTGTCAAAATGTTCGTGTGATTGTTGGTTAGTTTAACTCTCTTTGGCTCCCGATAAAATGCCTCAGATGGGCTTGGCAGGATCAGGAGAGATGCAATGAGCTGAAGGAAAGCCAATTCCAAGAGGACACTAGCCATGGCGCAAATGTTGAATGATGATGCTCCATTACACCTGACAAATGATATATTCTTGAGGAATGAGTTCCATAGGACTGTGTTCACGTTGAATGGGTTTATCTAACGAGCGTCAAATCGGCTCTAAGAAATTATCATATTCGAACTTTTTAGAAAAGTAAAATTAAATCGGAAAAGTAACTATATATCGGGGATAATAAATATGAGTGTGTGTAAATAATGAGTTGTGTGTATTAAAAAAAATGCCGTTGATGCACCTTTTGAGAAAAAAAATATAAACTAATTCCTCTACCAATTCACGGTGACGTGCAAAAAAAAAAAAAAATTTTTTTTTGGGTTCTTTGTCTTTGTATGTTTTTGTTGCAAATTAATTACTGTCCTAGCATATGATCATCCCAATAAATTATTGAAATACATTTCCGGGGTAGTTCTCAACTCCAACTATGAATTTCGAAATTTTAGAAATCTCCTTTTCCAAATGTAATGAAATGCATGCAGCATAGAATCTACGTACCTCTTCTTGGAGGGAATGGAGGACTTAGAAATTGGCTTTGAAGCTTTCTCGAATGCCATTTTCAACTGTATTTCCTTTGAGCTTCCTACTTCTTTTGGGTTCAGCAAGACCCTCTTGTTAGCTTCTTAGACTTCAAGGACAAAAGGAATCTTAGAAGACTGACTACCTTGATTGATCTTCAAAATCAATAACAGGGAGTTGGAGAGACCCCTGCTGGGGAGAGATTATGAATTCCAAAGAGAAGAAAACGATTTATTCAAAACCCCAAAAAAAGGGGGGGATTTACTTAAGGTGAAAATTGAAACAATGGTATTTATTTATCCATGGTGATATGTTTAGCTCATGAAATTAGTGGACATAAGAACTTCAAAAATTCGAAATTCAAGGGGCAAAGAATCAGCCGAAAAACTGAAGTTGTTCGATATCTTTCATGACATAGAAATGGTCAACATTGCATAATTTCCTAGAGGATTGCTATTCAAGACTTGATAGAGACAGCCTAGCACAACTTTTCCCTCTTACTGAGTCAGCTTTTTGCCCAAAAATTTATAAGAACTAGATTTTACAAGCCCAAAGGACTAGATTTTCGGTCGCATTTTCCTGCTAGAAAACCGTTGTCAAGTACATGTACTCCTCCAGATGTGAATTGTTTGTAATTAGCAAAGTTGGCAGCTGTACCAAGTCAAATAATAGTTGTATCACCTTTGACTGGTTCTGGTCGTTGTGGATGTTTAACAACTTTCTCGAGCATTGGTTTCGACTTCCTTGTCAAAGACATCCATTTTCAATCTATTATAAGTAATATTTTGATCTCTTTGACCAAAATGTTCACATCACAAGTTTGGATAGGAGATTGTTTGGAAAAAAATTATTTGAAAGAATACTATAACATTTTTTGTAATGTAATGTATATGAAATAAAAAGATAATTAAAATTTGTGTTTATAATGTAAACTGAATAATAATATTTGAAAGGTTTGTTTGCAAGTTATAGTAACCAAACATAGGTTAATGAATTTGGACATAAACATCGATTGTATTATCGAATCATTTATGGCTCATGAATTTTTTTTTTTTTTTTGGTAGTCCGGAACATGTACCGACCCGAATCCTTTGGACTCAAGTCAGCACGCCAAACTAGGAGGGAAATGCTGCAGCCCCACGCAACGTTTTCCCTAGCGAGTCACATGGTGCTTCAGCGAGCAGTTTCGATTTCGGGACCTTTTGTGTCCAAAGGACCGCTGCTACCACTGGACCAATCGCGTGGGAGGACTCATGAGTTTTTGCTTCCTATGCACTACTACAAAAATTATTGAGGTCGAGTATATATTGGTTTTTGTAATTCTACAAATTCTTATCAATTATGCAGTAGATGTCTAATGCCGTAGATGTATGACAAAAACAAACTAAAAGATGACTCATTTCTTCAATTATAGGAATTTTCAATCGGTTTTTGTAGGTTTACTAATGTTTTATATGGTTGGAAATTCTTGAAATATCATGTTATATCATATTTTATATGACTTGGAAAATTTGTTTAAACTAATAGAGAAAGAATCAATTCATGGGTGAAACTATAAATGGGATAATAAATAAACCCAATACCTAACTCTGATACTATGATGAAAAACTTGTGCTTATATTTTAAAATCAACTAGCAATGCGAAAAGTGACCTAAGATTTTATATGGCTGAAAATTCTTAAAATATGAATGTGTGACATTTTAGTCTCCTAACAATCTTGGAGTGATTCTCTTAATTGACGAGAAAATTTTCAAAACTTGTTTTGAGTTTTCTTCAAAAACTTCTAGTTATGCAAGTTAAAAAGATAATAAGTTAAGAACTAGAAGATAATCTAAAAGAACCAATTCTGACAATGGGCGGAACAAGCAAAAGAATACAACTTTCAATTGCAAGTCTGCTGAATTACGTCAATTTCATACTCCGGAAAACACAAGAACAAGATAAATTATTTTGTGCTTGAATTTTGATGGTTAACAAAAAATTTTTTTTTTTTAGTATTTAACATCTAGAGAAATTTGTAATTTCTAAACCAAGACAAAAACCAAAAAATAAAATAAAATAAAAAATCAAACTTCTAGCTTTTCTTCATGGGATGCCTCTTCAATCACAGAATTCTTCTCTTCAACACCACCAGAGTCCAAGCCATGCACTGGTGAAACCTGCTGGCTATGTTGATCAATAATATGTCCAGCAGCTTTTGCTCCTCTAAAATTATCAATGTTTCCAAAGATCAACACAACAGTTGCAACAATTGCAGTGCAAAATGATATCCCAAAAGATCTTTGCACATTTCCAGGGATTGCTGATGCAAGCGCAAAACCAGCCCAAATCCCTAAAGCTCTCACCCATGAAAACCATGCAGAAAATGCCCCTTCTTTCCCTGCTGGAGAACAATCCAACAGAAGTACCCTTCCAAAAGCATATAGCAAGCCTGTGGAAGTGCCGTGGACAGCAGAAAATAGTAGCAAATGGGGGGTCTTCCAAATTTCGTGGCGAAAATAAAATCCGAATCCTGAAGTTGCTGTTGATAGAAGAAGCCCCAGAAGCTGCATTTTCACTGCATCAGCCCTTATCAATTGCTGCAATTGATGCGATAACGGAAGAGAAAGCAAGGGGAACACAAAATATATCATCCAAAGAAAGAGTATGTTTTTTCCTTCGAGGCAAAGATCGCCTATGGAATAAAGCAAAGCTCCTGTGAAAATGCACATTGTTGTGAATGATGAAAGGAAAACCCCAACTATACTTCCTGCTGCATGAGGGTACTTGAAAATCGATACGACATGGGTTTTTGGGATGGAACTTGTTGATGAATTTGTTGTCGAATTTGTTCTAGTGGTAATAAAGATCTGGGCTGTGCCAGAAAACCAGATTATGCCACTGAAGATGGAAACAACCCACAAAGTAGTGAGAATGTCCGATTTTCGGAGCATGTAATATATGAAGGCAGAGATAACAGCAGCACCTAGGCAGCCAGAAGCAGTGGAATAAACTGAAAGCAATCCAGCAACAGCTTTTCTGTTAGGAAATTGGCTTTTTCTTATGGTGGAACCAACGAATCCACGTACCATTAGCCCAAGGTGGCGAGCGTGGAAGGTGGTGCCAATGGTGCTAGCAACAACTATGACAGCTACGTATGGTGGAAAGATCCATCTTGTTTTGAAAAATCCAACAGGAAGGCAGAAGAGAGCTCCAACTGCTGTGGCTGCCCCGGCTATCAATTGCTGGTTTTGGCCATGATCAAGGTGGATGGAGAACATGCTGAGGACTGGTGCTGCAAGAAATAGTCCTAGAAACCAAGCAACTGAAGTCCACTCTAGTGGAGATAATTGGACGTTGTTGACTTCAATCGAGGGATGAATTAATCTTTCATACCTGGAAATTTAAAGATCGGAGAGATTAATTATCCATGTAATTACTTAGTTGTCAATTTTTTGGTACATTAATTAAGTAGTTAGATTTTTTTTTTAGGAAATGATAAAAATATATTATTGATAGCCACATTATAAAAATGATTAGGAACTGACCAACATTGATTTGAGCCTTCTTAAGAAATTCTACAATGAGATGTATGGAGAATCTATTCAACTGGATTTAAGTTTTCGGAGTTTGCGTTTATGAACAAAAATCAAGAAATAACATGTCTTGGAAAGAAAATTTATATCGGAGCTAGTCTTATTTGAAAGTACTCTGTGTATATGATTGATAGTGACGACGATGATTATTTAGAAATCCTAGGAAGTATCGATGTTTCAGGTTAACCACAACAATGTTAACTTGCGCTACGACGTAGAGCCACCAAAAAAGAAACACAAAGATCCGGTAGCACTTTCAATGGATGGGACCAGTCTAAACTCGATCTGTTCGGTGTCACAAAAGCCCAATGAATCTAATGTTTCGTTAAGTTGGACTCAGTTTGAACCTTAGCGTTGGACTCGAATTAAATATTAGTTGAGTTTGAACCTTATTAGGTTTAAATCAAATATAGGTCTCATCCTTTAATCTAGATATATATATATATATATATATATATATATAATATATTCATATTTGGTATATAAATTATATATCTAAATATATAGTACTAATACTTATTAGTTATGTGTCAAAACATATTAATATAGATAAGAATATTAAATATACAAAATTATGTCAAAAGATTCAAATTGAGGACCTTTGAAGACGTATTGACTGTTGATCATGTTTTATTACTATTTTTCATATATTTTGAATTAATTGTATATATTATTGTTTGAAAATTTTTAGTTTATATACTTTTTAATGAATTGTTACTTGTTCGTGTATAATTTTAATGTTGTGGTCTTGTGAATGTTAAATTAGCTTGAGAAATTATTAGTTATAATAATTATTTTAAGAAAATTAATGAGTAATAAATGAGACTGAGTTAAATCTGAATTAGATTCACAATTTGAGTATTTTGTGAGCCAAATATGAGTTTAATATGTATCAACCCGAAACTCATAATCTGTATCTCCAAAATGGTATTAACTATATAAGCCGAGCTTGATCAGTTTGTTAAAACTCGTCTCAAATGACCCAATTGACAGGCTTAGACACATGGAGTAATATTCAATATATTCTCCACAACTTTGTAGGAAAGAATCTGGCAAGAATCAAGGGATACTGTCATTCCTTGTCCTTTCTTCTATTTTCCTTTGCATGATTGATTCACTTTGTTATGCCATCTTCATATTCAACAACACGAAAACATTAATAATGATAGTAAAAATAAAAATCAAGATAAAATATTATTTATTTCCAAGATGAGAATGCCAAGTGAGTCATGGGCTAATATCTATTAAGCAAGGTTAAATTCCACTATGCTCATACTTAATTAGTCTTCACTGCATTAAATCCAGCTAAATATTGAACTCTTCAATATGGCAATTAGTCTTCACTAGCTTGTAATCTCATTTCACTGTTTACTTTTAGTCCCTAAGTTAACAAACAAGTATGCTATGATCCTTGCTTTAAATTCAAAGAATGCAAAGCATTTCACCGACTCTAAATGAAAATCAGATTGTTGATCACTTACAATTGCATTTTCCTCTCAGTGCATTCGATTCCCTTGTAGCTTCTAAGCCAACCTTGCTGAGGTTCTGGTGGGTTTGACACGGTCTGGCCAATTATAAGAGGAAAAAGAATAGGAACAAGAACAGTATGAATGAAGTAGGAG